CATCTTTTAATTTCCTGGCTGCTGGTGTCAATCCAATCTCTACACCATCTATCATGATGCTGCTAATCAGCCCAGAGGTATTTGTTTTCTTGATATTGAGCTTCAGTCCATACCGAAGGCTGTAATCCTTGACCCAGGACTAAGAAGTCAAAGCAAAGGAAAGAAATATATTAAGGAGCTGAACAGAAAATTTCAAAGGGCAGCGTGGGAAGACAAAGTAAATAATGAAATGTGCAAGGAGCTGGAGTCAGAAAATCAAAGGGGCCAAACTTGCTCAGCATTTTTTTTAAAAAAAAAAAAGCTAATTTTTTATTTAGTTAAGGGCGCCGGGACCAACGATCACCAGCTGCCCAGTAAACAAAAATTACACTTTCAAAATCTCTTGATGTCGATTCCGCACGTAGAGCAATAGAGTTGCCCTACATGTGCCACTTCACGACAGCCCTTTGCTCAGCATTTCTTAAAACTCAAGGAACTGAAGAATAAATTCAAGCCTTGAGTTGTAATACTTAAGCATGCTTTGGGCAGAATATTAAATGATCCAGGAAGTATTAAAAGAAGATGGAAAGAATATAGAGTCATTGTACCAAAAGGAATTGGTGGATACAGAATTTCATGAAATTCTGTACGAGCAAGAGCCTATGGTGATGAAGAAGTTCAAACTGCCACTGAAATCCCAGAGGTACGCAGTTCGAATCCACCAGATGCTCTGCTGGAGGAGGGGCAATCTCCTCCTGTACCAGTCAGTTCCAATTTGACGGTACATAAAAAAATAATTAGGGGGTCGCTTCCGGTCTCTCTCTAGCTGCCATCTTGCGTCCCCTCGTGTGCAGCCTATCTCAGCTGGTCTGCCAAAAGACCCCCTGAGTGCCAGCCCTAGTCCCCCGCGCGGCCCCATTTCCTCTATGACAAGATGAAAGAAACGATCATGAATCAGGAGAAACTTGGCAAACTGCAGGCACAAGTGCGCATTGGTGGAAAAGGAACTGCACGCAGAAAGAAGAAGGTGGTTCATAGAACAGCTACAGCAGATGACAAAAAACTTCAGTTCTCCTTAAAGAAATTAGGGGTAAACAATATCTCTGGTA